AGTTCCTACTAGATTGCTGTTTTTGCTGTAAAGTATATATCTGCCTCTGTTCTTTGCCTTCATTTTAGATACCTCAAGCAAATGCCTTGCTAATATATCACATTAGGCAATATTTAGTATCATTCCAAACATTAATGACCTCATACCTTTCTGTGCCGCTCTTGTTTTCCAGCCTAGGGACAGATATGGCCTGTGGAAATGTAGGTCAGTATTTGACCCAAAATTGTGACAGAGAATTTTCCATTGGCTGTGTTTGTTTTGGTGCCAGTGTTAGTGTTGAGTAGTACGTTAACTGGACCAGGCAGTTTGTTGTAGCCTCAAAAGCACGACAGGAAAGACTTCTGAGAAACTGTGTTCTAGTGGATGTACAGCGACCTCTGAGAGAAAGAAAGCATCAATGAACTTTGATATAAATCCGTGATGTAGTGATAGATGAGGATTTATATGTATGTAGCAGGAGATTTTTCAGAGATGGACTTTTAAAAAAGACTGCTGTCAGTTCTCACATTTGGTTTGACCCTGAGAGAGAGTGATCAGGATATTGGGTTTTATCTGGGCTTTAGTCCAGGAAAGTGATCTTTCAGTGCCTTTGGAGGAGGTTTTGACCTGTAGAAATGTAGAAAGATGAGGCAGTAAGCTGTTGCAGGCGTGAGCTGTAGATTTTGGGGTTGCTGTAAGAAGAAGTAGGAATATGGTAATGAGGTTGGTGGCTTGGTGTGGGTAGTGCTGATGGTGGTGTTGTTATAAATGGCATTAATGTTAAATGTTGATGCATCTTTCGTGTTGATTTTGATGTCATTTGTCAAAGTTGTGGTGCAGTGTTGATGTGTCAGTGTCATTCATGATGATGCTACTGGCCAGTGTTTTTGGTGCTGTTATCATTGGTTAGTGTCATTGGTGTTGGTGTGAATGTCATTGCTGGTGGTCATTGGTTTTGACCTTGTTAGTGTCATTGGCATTGGGAATATTGTTATTGGTTATTGTCATTATTGTTGGTGTTAATGTCATTGGTTAATTTTACTGATGTTGATGTTAATGCCATTGGCATCAGTATTATTGTCACTGGTTTGTGTCATCAGTGTTAGTGTTAATGTCATTTATGGTAGTGTAATTAGTGTTAGTGTCATTGGTTAGTGTCATTGGTTGTTGTCATTGGTGTTGGTGTTAATGTCATTGGTTATTTTTATTGGTGCTGGTATTAATTTCATTGGTTATGGTCCTTGTTATTGGTGTTAATTTCATTGGTAAGTGTCATTGGTGCTGGTGTTGATGTCATTGGTTGTTGTCTTTGGTGTTGGTGTTATTGTCATTGGTTAGTGTCTTTGGTGCTTGTGTTAATGTCATTGGTAAATGCCATCGGTGTTGGTGTTAATGTCATTGGTTATTGTCATTGATATTGGTGTTAATCTCATTGGTTAGTGTCATTGGTGTTGGTTTAAATGTTATTGATTATCGTCATTGATGTTGGTGTTAACGTCATTAGTTAGTGTCATTGGCATTAATGTCATTAGTTGTAGTCATTGGTGTTAATGTCATTTGTTATTCTCATTGACATCGGTGTTAATCTCATTGGTTAGTGTCACTGGTGTTGGTGTTAATGTCACTGGTTATTGTCATTGATGCTGGTATTAATGTCATTGGTCCACATCGTTGGTAGCATCATTGTGTTGAGGTTATTGGTGCTGGTGTTGTCTTTGTCAGTGTTGTTGGTGTTGATGTCATTGGTCATCAGTATGGGTGTAAATGTCACTGGTCAGTGTCATTAGTGTTGGGGTTGATGCCATTGTTAATGTCTTTATTGACTGTTATTGATGCTGGTATCTGTGTTGATATCATTTTTCATTTGTGTTGGACTGGTGTTGATGTCATTGGTCACTGTTATTGATGTTAATGTTACCAGCATGCGTTTCACTGGGCATTGTTGGTATTGGTGCTGATGTGTCCCTGCTGAATGTCATTGGTGTTAATGTTGATGTCACTGTTCACTGGCATTGCTGTCAGTGGAAGTGTAACTGGTCACTGTCATTGGTATTGGTCTTGATGTACTAGTCATTGTCATTGGTATTTATGTCGATGTAGTCGGTCAGTGTTATCGATATTGGTGATTCTAGGAAAGCAGGTCTGAGTATTTGTCCAGTAAAATGCAAAAAGCACAGCTCAGCTCAAATGGACAGTGCTGGCTGATGAACAACTCCCCTTTGCTTCATAAATATTAATGCGAAAGGTACAGTAAGGGTCCATCTGTGTTCCCAAAGGTGGGATTGATGTAAAGGTACACTCAATATCTGACCCCAGAGTACTTGTGTGTGTCCTTAATTTAGGAGAAATGGTCCAAACGGAACGGCATCAGTAATTACAGCTTAGCGAGAGCTGCTGAAGGATTTTTTTTTTTGTTGTTTTTTGTTTTTTTTTGAGAGCAGATTTCCTGAAGTGAGAAAGGTGAGCAGGTGCAAGTCCTCTGTCTCTCTTACTGTCTCTAAAGGATGACTTTGAATGAGTGATTATGTAACGTTGCTGTCGGACTTGGCCAACGATCAAAGGAGAGACCTTGTTTTACCATCTGTCCACGCAACTACTCTGCTGCTGTCTCACTCAGAAAAACACTGATCCACTGCAGCACCAGATCAGCATCACCTTCTTACAAGCTGTCACAGTTAAGGGAACATCGTTATTTGAGGTGTAAACTGCCGACCTCACTTTAATTCTAATACATTTGTTTAGGAAATGTTGCATCATGAAATCTCAAGCTTCACCGCAATTCGATTTGAATTGATTAAATTGCTTAGTTATAATCAGAGCTATTTTTAAAAAATAAATTGAATTATGACTGACCCAACAATTATATTAATAATAATATTATATTATATTATAATATAAATTAATAATAGTAATTGAGAATGATGATATTATATTAAATATAATATATATTAATAATAGTAATGGAGAAATCTAGTGATTATTTTTGATGATTAATGAGTAATCATCTTCTTGTGTTGTTTTTTAACAGCAAACTTAAACAGAGCTGTAATATTTCAAAGGCTACAAAATACTGAAAGTACTGAAAATGATTAAGAAAAAAAGATGTGGAAAAAATACATCACAATGTAAGTCCATCAGGCTCTGTTACTTTTTGCAAGAAAGCAGCAATAAGAAAATTGAAAATATGCATTATCTGCAAGGGTATCTGCAGGTTTAGGCTAATTCACATTTAAGGCTTTTAAAAGACTGTTTGCAACTTTGAGGAATTTGTGAGAAATCTTAAATACTGCTTTGAACTAGTCATATACAGTTGTCACATGTATTCATGAGAATGTTGTGTCACAGAAATAGCACCACGTCTAATTTCTTCTAGCGTTTCTATTAGTGTTTTTGTCGGAGTAAAACAACTATGAATATTATATATATATATATATATATATATATATATATATATATATATATATATATATATATATATATATATATATGAACTTGAATGCTTGATATGCATGAAAATGTTAAGTATAGGCATACATGCATTGGTGTGAGATCCTCCTGCTTTAACAAGGCTTAATAATGACCTGTGGATGCCCTGTTTATCATTCGCAAACTATGTATAAATCACTGATAACATTATTATTATTAATTAATTAATGTTTTAATAGAGTAAGTGATTTTAGTCGAATAAAATCCACTTTCAGTACATAAATGTGATTAGAGGAGCTGTTTGCACTGTAATGCAATATAGAAAATGAAAACAACCTTTTTTATTCTTTTGTTTGAAAATGGGCAGAGAATTTTCTTTTAGGCCAAATGAAGTCAATAATTTATTGGATGAATTGACACAGTTTCTATTTTCAGACTGAAGCATCGATGCATTTTTACACTCCTAATAATTACATACATAATTCCAAATACATATTAATTAGTATTCCATTTCTATTCCTTTTTCCTAGAGCTACATTAAAATTGATCAGCATTAGCAGTGAGCAAAACCGGTTAAGATATCTCATCTCAGCCTCAGTTTTCTTTATTTTTTCAGTAATAAATTCTGGTTAATTACTGTTTGGAATCCGAATCCCTTTTGGCCAAACATTTGGGCACATCAGCCTTCATTAGTGTGTGTTTGAGAGGAAGTGAAGAGCAGCCGCGGAGGTTTTACTGGCCAGCGATGAGTCAGAAATTACAGGCCTTATTTTACAGTGTCTGAAGGACGACTGTAAGTGTGCATGTGGGTAAATGAGAGAAATAACTGACTCTTGTTGCACTGCTTTCCACCCAACCGCATTCACACAGTCATACAAAACCACAGACAAACTGAAAGCCTCTTTACTGTAATATAAATTGTTAATTTGGTCTGTTTGTGTCTCTGTATGTACTGAATATATTCATCGGTGTCGACTGTACATATATTTCTCTGTAGAGTATTAGGGTGATGGTGGCTGTTCTGCTAATAGCCCTAGATATTAGCCTGAAAAGCAACTTCATTTAGCACTCCTCTATGCTGGAATTGGCAATATAAGTCCATAAACAACCTTAATAAACACACACATACACAGGAGGTATTAGTTCGTAAATAACCTCAATAAACAATCCTACATACTAGAATAGGAGTTGTTAGTTCATAAACAACCTCAATAAACTTCTGTACACTAGAATAAGAGATACTGGTCTATAAACAACCTTAATAATGCTCCTATACACTTGAATAGGAGATATTAGTCCATAAATATATGCTCAATAAATGCTTCTGTATGCTAGAATAGGACATGTTAGTCCATAAACAACCTCGATAAACAATCCTACATGCTAGAATAGGAGATATTAGTTCATAAACAACCTCAGTAAACACTTTGTTTTTGGTCACTGAATAATTCCATGTGTTATTTAATAGATTACTGTCTTTTCTGTCATTCTAAAATGTGGGAAATAGTGAAAATAAAGCAAAATATTTTTTGTTTGATACTGTATATGCAAAAAAAAATATATTAAAACAATTTCCTCTCTCTTTCTCCCTTCAGTGGTGGACATGCAGGGGTGTTGTCCATACACCCGTTTTATGGTTCCCCCAAAGACCACGCACTGGGTGGCCCTACTGCAGAGGGGGAAATGCACGTTTAAGGAGAAGATCCTGAAGGCTGCGGCTTTCAACGCCTCCGCTGTGCTAATCTACAACAACAGCTCCAAAGAGGACACAGTCACCATGGCCCATGAAGGTCAGCTCCGTTTAGTCCATCTGTTAGAGGTTTGACCTGAGTGTGCTGACAGGGGTCAAGCTGAAATCGTCTGAAAGTTAGAAGAATGGTTTAGTGAAAAATCTGATACTTTCAAAAGCACTAATAGCTTGTTTCAGCACTGAAGGTTACATGATAACACCACACAGAAGCTGCTTAAACCAGAGAAAATGAACACGCTTGAGTTTCTGCTTAGAAACCTGCAAGATAAATTTGGTCTAACTTTAGGTGGTTCTTGGTATGGTTCGGTAATTATTGCTCTAGTTTGGTAGTTCTTGCTCTGGATTGGTAGTTCTTAGTATGGTGCGGTAATTATTGCTCTACTTAGGTAGTTCTTGCTCTGGTTTAGTAGTTCTTGGTATGGATTGGTAGTTTTTGCTCTAGTTTGGTAGTTCTCTGCATGTTTGGTAGGTTTTGTCTTGGTGATAGTTTTTGCTGTAGTTTGGTTGTTCTTGCTCTGGTTTGGTTATTTTTGTCTTTTTATAGTTCTCGGTCTAGTTTGGTAGGTCTTGGTATATTTGGTAGATCTTGCTCTGGTTATAGTGTTTGCTGTAGTTTCGTTGTTCTAGCTCTGCTTTAGTAATTTTGTCTGGTTATAGTTCTTGCTATGGTTTGGTAGTCCTGGCTCTAGTTTGGTAGTTATTGGTCTGGTTACAGTTGTTGCTGTAGTTTGGCAGTTCTTGCTCTGGTTATAGTTCTTGCTGTAGTTTGGCAGTTCTTGCTCCAGATTGGTAGTTCTGGATCTGGTTTAGTAGTTCTTGGTATTATTTGGTAGTTCTTGCTCTTCACACATAAAAAGATGGTTCTTCAAGGGTTCTTTAGTAAAGAGAATGGCTTTATACTCAAAGAACACTTTGCATGATTAAAGAGTTCTTTACATCATGAAATGGTCAATCAGCTTTATGGAGAATGTGTTGTACATGGTTCTATACAACACCAGAAAGTGTTCTTCTTTTGTTACAAGGTTGACAATGTAACTATAGAAGAACCTTTTTGGTACTATATAGAACCCTTTTCAAAAAGGTTCTCTGTAGAACCATCTAAAGCACATTTCCCCATTATCTGAAGAACCATTTCACTATGCAAAGAAACTTTTAATCATGCAGAGGGTTCTTTCAGTGTTCATGGTTCTATATAGAGCCATTTTCTTTACTGAAGAACCCTTAAAGATCCATCCTTTTTAAAAATGTGGTTTGGAAGTTCTCGCTGTCGGTTTAATGTGCAACAAACATTTACAGCCAATAAATTACTTTTTATTCAAATAAACCAACTAAATATTACCAAGACGTCAGTCTATAGGCTACTGTTATTGTAGTTTTCCTTTATTTGTTGCCTTTATTAACTTTGATGTAACCACAGTGGCAAAAACGTTTAAGCCCTTGTTCATGTTGCGCAAGGGAAGGACTACCACGTATGGAAGGCTGCAGCACAGCTTCATCTGTTTAACAATCATGACTGTGGTTAAAAAAAAAAAAAAGAAAAATAAAACATTCCCTTGCTGCTGGAGAGTGTTCTAAAGCCAGACAGTAGACGGATATGGGATTAGACTACACATTAAAAGAAATCAAAGATTAAGAGACAGATATGATGAGTTTAGTGCATTTCCATGTCAGTGTTTCCGTTATCTGGTGTTTAAATCACCAGCTTGGTTGGTAATCATGAGAGATGGACTCTATTGGCAATTTGTGATATTATCATCCGTCGACACAAGCATGCATGTGAAGGGGAGTCAGATTCCACAGGGTAGCTGCAATTTTGCATGACACTTGCAGCGTTTAGTAACAAAGTTTGTTCATGTTTATAGCTCACAGTAAGTCATACTGCAGTTTACTTAAAAACATTTTCATTTTATCACTTTCAACTTGTGCTAAACATCAATGGAAATATAGCTACTGCTGATTTTGCGTATGCTCACACATATGCTCTCTATTTTTAAAATATTTTTTATCAGCCTAGTTTTCTTTCTTGCCCTCACTTATTGTAGTTTATTCAGAATATGAAATCTGCTTATAAAAATCCATTTATAGTGTTGTTTATGCGTATAGTGCTTTAGGTTTCCAAGCAACTAGCATAGTCGGAGAGAGAGTCATTACAACATTCAGTGATTCGTCACTTATACTGATTATTAACTTAAGCCATCTAAGACGCAGGTGTTACTGGAGAAACCAGTGCTGTAATTTTACATGAATTATTTCTGACTCATTGCTCATTGAAATAAGTGGAGAAATTGTGTGGAAAGTCAGGATTCTAAACTTTCAGTCCAGGCCACAGAGTCTGTATGTAGAAGAGGGGATATTTTATGATTTGAATTCGAGGAAGAGTAGCGGGTGTGTGTGCAGTGTTTTTCTGTGTTCTGCGTTCTGAGTTTTTGTCATTTATTGACATCAGAACAATGGAAAAATATTGGAAGTTCAGACTCAAACCCCTCCATGCAGAATTCAAATCAAATATATAATACTCATCTTCATATACTGATATGTTGAGATTTATGTCTGTCAACATGTTAATATGGATTTTGTATATTTTTATGTATATTTTAAATATATATGTATGCACACTTTCTGAGCAAAGCACATACATTAAAGCAGCTGTGAATGTTTACTTAATCCTAAGAAGCTGAAAAGCCTCTTGATCGATGTTGATGGCACTTTTTTCCTCCGTGTGCTCAGACAGTCCAATAACACAGACTAATAACCTGTTTCAGACTGGCAAGAAATGCCACAGAGTAGCTCAGAAACAAGTGAGCTAATTTTGCTCTTGCTTCAGTTTGGTAGATCTTACTGTAGGTTTGATAATTACTACTACTACTACTAATAATAATAATAAAAATTAGGGTGCTTCAATACTGATGCTGGTATCGGGTATCGGGCTGGTACCAGGCTCAATTTCTCGTACTCATAACTTCACCGATACCAACATTCTGATACCAGCTGATATGTGACATAAGCCGAGTGCACACCATTGTGCTAAAGATGAAATGCAGTGAAGGAGGCTCTGCTCACACAGAGAAGTGTTACTGACTCTGTCACAGTCAGACACAAAGCCGACGGTCACTTCACTCAATCCACCTTGGCAGATTTTTGCCGGACCTACTCTGTGTGATTTTCGCTCATTTTCAACACCCACACAAACACAATCACAGCGTCTTCCCCAGTACAGGTGAAGATACACAGGTCGACGAGGAAAAAATATAGACATTTGCAACAAGTCCATTTATGCAACTTTACTCTGTTTGACTGAATGCAATAGCGAGGTATAAACGTTAATACAGTGACTTTTTTGAAAAATAGGCTGTAGAGAGACCGTATTGTCCTACGTCACTGTCTGCTTTACCTTCAGTGCTCATTGTTAGCAGTACTGCTCAGTTTCTCTTTGCTCAGTACTCAGAGCGCAGTATGTTCACTTGAATGAAACAGCTTTGTTTGAAACTGTCCATACACGTTTCATATACAAATCACAGGTTTTTTTCTGTACACAACGGTCTATTCAAATGTACAGTGTGAGTCACCAAAGAACAAAATTTCTAAAATCACACAGTCTGTCTGGCTTTAGAGGACATTCAGCTACAACTCAACCAGCCAAACAAAAGGCTCCAACAAAATGTAAAACTTGGAATGGGAGTTCATCGGATACATTAGCCTCCAGTGTGATTCTTGCTGTCGCTGAACTACAGAGAATGTTGTTGAAAGAGGCAGATGAGGATCAAAACTATGAAACATATTTTATTTACAGCTGTACAGGAGTGATTTTCTGTACGCTGCTCTCCGCTGTAGCGCTACTCGATCCAAAGGAACTGATGCAGCATAGCTAGCTAATGCACTTAATTAAAATCAGCTAGATTTTAATGATTTAACTGTTAAGGTACATTACACTCATGTACGCTAACAACTTCTTAATTCTAAGTAGGTTACTCAGTATGCTATTGGACTCAAAAAATGTGCACTTGTGTTGTGCTTGGTTTGAAAAACATTAGTGTTGATGCATCCCTAATGATGATGATAATAGTAATATTAATAGTAGTAATAATAATAATAATAACAAGTTGGTCCTCAACATCAATAGAGGATAACAGTATATTGCAAATGTTATTTGAAACTGTAAAATATATCTAAATGTAGCATTAGCTAGTTTAATCTATCTTTCTGTCTTCTCTCCTCTGTCTGTGTTTCTTTATCTCTCTCTCTCTCCTTCTCGCCAGGTGCATAGGCATAGAAAGACTGGGTTGAGTGTTACCACGTGTCTCCACTTCCTGTATCAGACGTTTAAATTAAAACCTCTCTGCAAAGTTTTGTAATTGTGACTTTTGCATAAACGTCTGAAGCAGCAGCAGCAATAATTTTGTAGCAGTCGGCCACCAATACAAAAAAATATATCAAAAAAATATGTAGCGGAAAAACTGTTCTTGTTTCGCGTGAGAGGACGTGTGAATATGCGGTAACAACACAGCCTTATCTGATTAGCACCTGGTGTTATAAACCTGCTTCAACTTCAGGTTCTTGCAAACTTTGTATTGAAAACATTTAGAAAACTTTTAAAGGGAAATGGCACCTACTTAAAAAATAAATGCATAATTCAGTTAAATTCAAGTCATTCAGAGTGGTTTGGTGTGAAATGGTTGATTTGTAAAGACTCAGATTTCTTTACAGTGGTGGTGATAGGAACCAGGGGTCGCCATGACTACAACACAAATATAGACATTTTATTTACTATCCAGAACCACCAGTGAACCTACATGCATCTTCTGAGTTTTATATAGAATGTTGATGATGGTGAAATAGTGGACTATTTTGCCTCAGCATGTATTCCTCCACCATGAATGGACTTTAACCAAAATCTCTCAAAGCTGTCATAAAACAATGTTTCAGACATCAGACAGTGTATTCATTGCCATTTCATATAATAACTTTCTGTAAGGGCTTTTAGAGGTGGATGTCTGGTTCCTATCACCACCACTGTGAACAATGATGACTTTTCTCCAGAGC